GATTTAGAAGAAGACAAGGGAAATGAGAAAGAAGAGGAAGAAGAGGAAGAGGAGGAGGATGATTCTGATGACGACGACGATAGTGATCATGATCATGATAATAACGGTGAAGAAAACAAAGAGGATGTGAACCCCAAGTCTGCCACCAAACCAACTTCAGTGTCAGTTTCTGATGAAAGAGAAAAGATTGAGGATTTAAAGGAGTGCCAGACTCAGGGGGCAGAGAGCATGGAAGTGTCAGAAGCTCGAGATGCTGTAGAAGTTGAAGCAGGTGCAAGAAATGGAGAAGCAGAAGAAACTCCTGGTTTTACTGTGTACGTGAATCGAAGACCTAATAGTATGGTTGATGTCATTAAGGATTTAGAGAACCAGTTTGTAAGAACCTTTGATTCGGCGAAAGAGGTCTCAGTCATGCTCGAAGCAAACAGTGCTCAGTACTCGGCTCCAACTGAACTTACAGGTATCATCTCTGTGCTTGTGTGTCACTTTCTCCCCTCCAGAGATTGGAGATATATAACATTACGTAAACCGCAATTTACAAAGTTAAGTTTCCATTTTGGTATATTGATTGGTGATTAATCCTAAATTTGTCATAGAAATACCAAGTAGATGACAAGTAGTGTCGTGCCTGAATTTTATCAAGATCCTAAAAACCAAGAACCGTATACTTCACTCGACATAGTTGCAAAATAAAATGTAAAAATTTTTATGTGCGTGCATAATATGTATTTATCTTAAGGGATTTGTAATCAAATTGTAGACGATATAGACTTAATTTTTGTGCTTTTACATAGTTGTCTCAAATTTTAACTCGGTGCAGGAGCTAGGATATTGAACCCTGCTTCTCTGTTTAGTGCCCCCTCATCACGGTCATCGTCTGCTCGGTTCCTTCAAAGTTCTATAAATGCAAGGGAAGATCAGGGTGATGAAGCCAGCAGCAATTACTCAGAAGAATGTTGTATGATATCTGGAAGCCATCGGGCCACATTAGACAGATTGTATGCATGGGAGAAGAAGTTATATGAAGAAGTAAAGGTGCAAATTTTACGTGCTAAATGATAAGTACTGAGTTATTTATGCTGGCAGTATCTTAAAGGTTCTTACGTTTTGTGTACAGCGCGGAGAGCGTATTCGCATAGCATATGATAAGAAATGCATGCAGCTTCGGAACCATGATGTGAATGGAGAGGAGCCTAGTGTTGTCGATAAAACAAGAGCCGCTATAAGAGATCTCCATACTCGCCTGAAGGTTTCCATCCATTCTGTCGAATCTGTTTCTCGAAGAATTGAAGCTTTAAGGGACGAGGAATTGTACCCACAGTTACTTGAATTGATCCAAGGGTATGTTCTTCAGATGTCCATTTCTAGGATTTAGCTCATTCAGTATAGTGTTTGTTTTCTTATAGGTTTTCCTTAGCGTGAGTTTCACAAAACCCCCCCATAAATTTGTCAGATAACCCCATCTAACTATTTTAACTTTCACAAACCCCTTAAATTTCTTATTCTATCTCCCCTGAACTTCTTTCCGTTCCCCTAATTCATTTAAGATGCTTCATTTTAATTCCGAGCCTTCAAAGAATGACCATTTTATTCTTTTATTATTTCCACTATTTTTTTTTCTGACCTAGTGATATTTTCGTCTTTTCGAACAGATTGGCGAGAATGTGGAAAACAATGTCAGACTGTCACAAGATACAGAAACGCACGATCGACGAGGCCAAGCTCCTCCTCTTCTCGTACGCCGCCAACACAAACCTCCCAAAACCCTCCGATTCCTCCCGTTTCAAGCCTTCCAGGCACGCTGCCGCCCTCATCTCCGACCTCAGAAATTGGCGCTCTACCCTCTCATCCTACATCACTGCCCAGCGATCCTACGTCCACGCCCTCTCGGACTGGATATCACGGTGCGCTGCGTCTCAAATCAGCGCAGATGAGGATCAAACGTCTCAGTCCCCATTTCGTATCGGCGGCGCACGTGCAATGCCATTGTTTAGGCTATGCTTTCACTGGTCGAGGGTGGTTGACTCGGTGAGCGAAGGTGAGGTGGTTGAGGGATTAGAGAGGTTGGCAGCGGGGATAGGGGTGGTTGACTCGGTGAGCGAAGGTGAGGTGGTTGAGGGATTAGAGAGGTTGGCAGCGGGGATAGG